GTGGTAACACTAGAATGTTGGCCCTTCCGATGTTTAGTCGTATTTCCCTTTTTCCCTTATGTTTATTCAAGTTTTCTTTCTTTGATTTTCTCACAGTCAAGTTTTTCATTGAATTTTTATCACAGGTGATGGTCAGTTAGAGTTTGGAACCTTGGTCAGTACATCAAACACATATGACGGAAGTGGAGTTGTTACCATAGAAACCGACACCACTGTTTTGTGGACCATGGGAGTTAAATAAAATAAATCAACCAAAGAAAAACTGTAGACATGTAAGATATAGGACAAAAATGAACGGTTCCCAAAGATAGCTTGTGACTCAATGAAGAGTCAGTTCCTCAGTTTGAGGATGATAGAAAGTATATTTTTGAAACCACTTGAGCTGAGAGTTCCTTCCCTCGATGTTTGTAAATAAATATAAATTATAATTTTTTATTAATATAATTTTTTGTATGCATACTTTTACAGCATCAAAAAAATTTACAATTTACGTTTTTCTCGGTGTGATAAACACGTGTACTGTGCCCAGAATAAGTTGCTTAATTGACGAAATTTTACTGAGGTTTGTGTTGTCTCATAAATTATATATCATTATATATGCCTGACAATATTATTGCAATAATATGAGTTTGAAATAAAAATTTTTTCAGAAAGAAATGTATTTGTATTTAGGTAGGCATGCGTTTGTTTTATACCGGCTGACTCACTCTAGAAATCTAGCGCTGGCTGACTCGTTGAACATCGCTTTTAAATTCCCGCTACATACCATCAAAATGTGGTGGAAATCTTGCCCTATATCGCAGAAGAATTTCCTTCTACGTAATTTGCCGTTCAAGAATCTGTAAGAGTATGAAACAATTATGTTTTCGTTCTATACAAACACGTTCTAGTTCATGAAAATTTATGTTTATAAATTTGTATTGATTGAAATTTGAACGAAGACTTACGAACTTGGTGTGCATATCTTCAGAACAGTAGTCTCCCTTCCAATAGAACTGTAGTGTGACAAACCGAAATGGACGTAAACACGAAAGATCCCGTGTAGAATAGGAAAGATAGACAATTTTCAGCTTGGTACGTAGTGAAACAAAGAAATATATCATGAACTAGCGTGGGACAAAGACGAAATCTGAGTCTCCATTAGTGAATCGAACCTCAGACTCGCAAATTCCGCGCGCTTCGATGCTCCACCATTAAGCTACTGAGAGCTCTCTGGAGAGTCAGGCCGGGCCATTACAAGGTTTACGCCAGTGTTTAATGCGTCCACCATACTACTTTGATCAGTTGTGTCGAAAGCTTATCGTATTTTTGCTCTATCTTAACGCAGGATACATTCGACATTGCTAATCCTTTCCGCATGCAGTACGTCTGAGAGGTAGTATAGACAGTTCTTGGTGGCTCACTCGGCAGAGCATCTAACCGCAAATACAGAAGTTCTGCGATTCTAGCCACTATAAGGAAAGGTACTTTTTTCTTTGTCTCAGGCCCATGAAAAAATTGTCACCAATTTTTCTCTTTGTAGGTTTTTCATCAGTGTCTTTCTTCCTTTTAGTTTCATTGAAACTAAAAAGCTGTGTTTCTCGTAGTAACGACACTTGTCGCTCTTATTGTGACAAGTTTTAAAGCGCAAAGCGCCGTAAAGAATGAACCGTCCTTAGGGTTGAATCACTAAAATAAAATAACATAAAAAAGCAATAGTGATACTTTTATTTCGTTCCTTTTTGGGGGCAATTAATAAATTTCTACGCAGAGACATTTACCAAAGTTGTGAAACTCACCTCAGGTCACATGCGAAGAGCGACAGACATTTTTTGCCTTTGTCTTTCATGTTTAAATCGGTGAACATTAGAAAACGAATTTTAACTAAAACCTGGACAGTGAGGGAAATTCAAAAAGTAAATCTTGGAAAAAGTAAAGAAGATCAGATGCTTACTTTTGTAAGATCAAACATCAACATTCAGATTGAGCAGTTCTCAGACCATGATAAGTTTGTTGGAAGTTTCGAAACTTGCTTGGATACTCGTAGTAAAGCATAATCTTTGTGTTTCGGTTCTACTTTTTCTACGTGATAAAATAGTTTATGTTTAGTGGAATTATGATATATCTTGTGATGAAGAGGAAATAAACAATTTTCTGTTTTTTTTTTCCAGCGTCTAGGTTCGGGTAATAAACCTCTTGACACACCCTTCGTCAAATATTTATTCCAGAAAATTAGAATTCTGATTCTTTTGACAACGTAAAAAATATTACATAACTTCTCCTTTGATCACGAGGTTATTCAAGCGATAAAAGCAAAATAAGTCTTGCCAAGAAAAACACGAAGAAGTAATTGTACGTTATTGAAGATAAAGGGAAGTTTCATTAAAAGCAATTATGCATAGTGTTTGTACAAAGTTTGAATTAAGGTAACGTTTCATTTTGTGAAACTTAATGATAGTTTTTATAAGTGCCAACTTCTTTGATTCAAGCATGGAATAAATTATTTACACGGAATCTATTGTTGTTCCCAAAGCATGAGATTTAAAATGGAAAGGTCGCGAATTTTACACAGCAACAACACAGTGAAACAAAGAGTTTATAAAAGCCAGCGAGAGTGAGTTAATTAGGCGGCAGATTTCTTAATATTAACATGTGCACTTGAAACAAAAGGCACCCATTACCCTTTGTTTGCTCTCAATTAAGAAGGAATTAAAATGAATTCAAGTTTAATAACTCTAAACCGCACTTCTATTTGATAACACAACATGATTCACAGCTCAGTAACAGTAAAGAACATGTGCGGTAGATTGTCTCTGCTGGAAAGACAGGTCTTACCTCGCCACAAACAACACGAGTCATCGAAGCTTTTTATCGAGTAATAATTACATTAGACACCCCAGCTTCACTGAGAATCAAGACAACTTGTGTAAAAAAAGAAAAAGCGAGAGAAGATTAACGCCGATAGTCTCAAAAGATATTAGCAGTCGACTAATTAATTGCACAGTTAAATACAAATGTTTAATAAAAGGATAAATACGATCCAATATTCCGAATTATGACCAATTACCGATGAGGCCTTTATGAAAATAAACAACAGACGGTGTTCATCAGACTCCACACGATTTGCGTTGGTTTTCTGTAGATTAGGAGTGTTCTTATTAAACTAGCCGGTTTACAAAAAAAAATTAGTGTTGTGGGCACACAAACTTTTATTACAACAGAAGAAAGGCGGTTTTGCTCGTGGTCTCTCGATTCATCAATAGTCCAATCCTCAAGTGAAGGTAACTCGGTTAAATATAAATGTACTTGCTTCGAAACAACATTTTGTCTCTAATTATGAACAGAATTAGAAATGTTTTGGATAGAGTATAATAAATCATATGTTTCTTTCCTGACTCTTGCCGTCACCAAGTTTAATTACATGAAATATGGAAACTTAACGGCGTCGCTTAATATTCAGCTGCTCTCCCATACATTTAAACTGACGACAAGAAACCTGAAAAGAATGATTGACAAGTTTTCTTCTATCTGGCATTTAAAATGCCACTCAGTTTTCATTTTCTCTGAACAACCTTCGCATAACATTCTCCCATTATGAATGTTTCTTAGTTCTACAGCGTAAATTCGAAGAAGAAAATCTGTTCTGATCTTCCTCTGTGTGATAATTATTTTCAACAATCTTTTCAAATATCTGTACCAGAATATTCAATTATCAGTTAATGAATTGGCTTTTTTTAGCTCTTTTTCTCCAAACAGATTGCGAAACAGCTGTTTTCCCATCTAAATAACGTATGAACTTCTGAAACAGTGCACTGGATTTACCAACATGTCAAACGACCTAGTATGTTGGATTTTAGCAGAGGTTAAATGTTTTCTGACCCCCTGACGAAAATTGTTTGGACAATAAGGCGAGAGATTTATGACTCATGCTTTAAGCTCTCTGAGTTTATTTACATCTCTCTTTCACTCATTCACAGATAAAAAGCACCTGTCGAACCAGGCAAACAAAGGTGCGACTTGTTATTTTCCATAGGCAAGACAGCGGGTGACGCCCACAAAATTCTCGTAAGTGTCTATGAAATCGTCCACATCGACTTGCTAACCACACAAAGAAATTTACTAGAGAGCTTTAAAAAAAATCGTCTCGTTGATTACTTCAAGACTAAAGCGAAAAGCTTTACAGTTTCCATTGACTTTTAGCTGTTTACGGAGCGATTATTAAATCACATGTTTGTCATTTTTATTGTTCGTTTCCTAACTGTTATATTCATTGCATTCGATTAGAAGACGGTCAATTTAGTCGCACACCTATTTGTTTATTTTTGTCCTGCTGTGTCGGTCTTTTGTACAAAATTGAGCTTCATTTCTTGTTATTGTTGGCAGTGATAAAATATGCGGGAAAGGCGTAACGGAGTGTTAACTTCAATCACAGCAAGCTGCGTGGAAGGAACGGTTCCAACGTTATCTTCCTTCATCTCCATGCAGCCAGTGATACCAATTAAGAATGGGAAATTTTTTTCAAACGTACATGACTTTGTTATGATCTTCAACTTTTATTAATTGCCAGCTGGTAGACTATATTAAAATTTTGGCGAAAATATTCTCAAAAAACTCCACCCACTGGCAGAGGTTTTTACATTAACCGCTTATTACAAGCTATGACGGATTCCTCTCAACGTGCTAATGAAAGAACATGAAGAAACCTGAATCAATCTTTTCCTGTATGTTTAAGTTGGTTTTGAATAAAAAGATGATTCAACGTTGCAATTCTGGGAAGCCGGACTTCGAACATATTTAAATTCATAACATGTTTGTGTCTTCAGTTTATTATGAAACATACTTAAGCTGTTGAGTTTTAATGTACAACAAGAAAATAATATCAGACGGTAATTTGTAATCCCAAAGTGGAAACAGAAGCATTTTTTTCAAACTTATATAACTAAGACATAAATTTTATATCTTCATGTCTTCTTACCAGCACCAATTAACCAGAGTTATGTCCCAAGAATTCATCATTTCTAATGTGCTATAGGATTCTTAATCAATCATGCCTTTATGCCCATGGATCAATCAGCTTTAATTATTTTCAAGTCAGGCAAAAAAATAATAAACTCCGTGTTTTCGAGTGTTTCAATGGCCATATTCTTTGTTTCACTCAAATATACATGCAACTTGACGAGAATCTGTTACAGTTTGTGCTGATGTTTGTTAAATATACCGTGGCAACAGACATTATGTCCATAGTATGAAAAATATTACAGATAATTCAATCTTTCCACTCGTCAGCCTTAGAGAGAAGAGAGAGAACTAGAAAGTTAGCCGGCCCTAGTCACAAAATACTCTTTTAGCATGTATGTAATTGATGTAACATTGAATTTAACATCACTGTTTTCACGGAATTGTACCGTAATAGTGGATTAAACAGCAGCTGTGCAGATGTACAGCTAAGAATATTATGAAGTTATCGAAAGGGTAATGTCCTTTCTTATTGTTAGATAACCTGATATAGTAAACCAAATGTTGAGTGAAGCAATTAGCGTAAAACAGCTGGAAAAACTTCTGTCAGTGTCTGCAAAATCAGACTTCGGCAGGGTTCCAAAACATTCTGTGAATGAAGAACAGATATTTTTTATTACGTTTCGACATTGTACATGAATTACATCGAAAAATAGGAACTT